TCTCACCCTCGAACTGCCCAGCCTTCTAGGGAGAAATGGAGGCCAGACACCGCAGGCCACCCTTCTGAGGACCTCGGCAATAGGGGCCCTGCCCCCGGGAGCAGCACTGTGCCAGCTGGCACGTGGCAGGGATGGAGGGAGGCCGGGCAAATGGATGTGCTTCTCAGTACACAGAGGAGGAGAGAGCTACACGGAGCATAGCGCCTGCAGGGAGGCAGGGGAGACCGCACACCCTCAGATCCCACGTTCTCCAGGGGTTCTGGGCCCACCTGGCAGCGCTCGAGGGGTTCAGCGCTATGAAGCTTGCCTAGGGGAGCACACGTGCTTCTGGCTTGCTGGGAGCCCACAAGCTGAGCAGGGCGGAACTGGCTCTGGGGCCTCGCACGTTCCCTGGGATCAGCCAGCAGAGACTCGGGTCTCTGTATTGCCCCGACTCCCGCTTCCCACCACGGGACTGCCCAGAAAACGGGAACCCAGCCGGTAAATTCAAACTGGGGCAAGGGGCCAGCGCCATGAATGGGTGACTCCTCCCCAGCCTCGGCTGCTAAGAGTAGGAGGAAACAGCACCTGGCTGGAAGAAATCACCACGGCAGCCACCCACGGAAACAAGCCCCAAACTGGGGCGCTGAGGGACGCCTGTCCTGTGAGACCCGGGTGATGATGATTTGTGTCCCAAGTGTTTGTCTTGGGAATGCGGCTGCTCGTATTTCATTTCCTTTTCGTTTGCTCAGTATCAGCCTCTCCCAAGCATCACTTTTTATTCAGTGCCTGAATCAAACATGCTCATTCCGTCTTTCTCTGAAGATGACCTGAGCGGAAAATACCGCCCGCGGAAGGTGCTGTTGGCCTCACGCCACAGACACAGAAGCTGAGTTTGAGAAGTTAAACAGCCTCCCCAAGCTCACACAGCTTATCAGTGCAAGAGCTGAGATATGAGCCTTATTCTTACTTCACAAAGCTGCTTCCATGTTGGGGAAGGTGATGTTGGCCCTGAGAATCTGCCCAAGAACCCCCAAGAGAGGGGAGGGGCTACCAGGAGACAGAACTGCCCTTGCAGCTGCCAGCCAGCTGTCATAGCACAACTGGCAGTGCTGGGTTTAGACGGACTGAGGAACCCATCCTTGATACAGAGTACCTCACGAGGCCTCTCTCCCCACCATCACATCCCGTCTCAGCTTCCAGAAATCTCTTGGGCCCCATGAGCAGCTCCCATTATCATCTACAGGCCACGTCTGCTCCCCCTCCACCCCCCAGCCCGGCCCGGCCACGGAGCTCTCACCACTGAGCAGCGGGACCCAGTGGTACATGTGTGTTGCTCTCTCCACTCTCCACCACGACCCAGTCTCTGTTCCCTGTATTCTAACACAGGGAACTCTGGCCAGCTCACCAGGCATTTCAGAATCATGTCACTTTCTGAACTCAGCCCACTGGACCTCAGAGCTACACCAGGAGCTGCTGACAA